GGGTTGAGAGTTGAGATGAGCTCATTATTCCAATTCCAGTAAAGAGAAGGCATCATTTAACCCAATGATTGAGAGAACTGGGCATGTTTAGCCTTGAAAAGAGAAGACGGAGGGGGGACATGATATTCCTCTATAAGTACCTCAAAGGCTGTCACAAAGAGGAAGGTCACGATCTCTTCTTGCTGATACCAGAGTGTAGGACACAGAATAATCTTGGCAAGCTGTGACAACCCAGTTTCAGGCTTGATATCAGGAAAAGCTTCCTCACTGTCAGGGCAACATGACAGTGGAACCAGCTGCCTAGAGAGGTGGTGGGCTCTCCCACACTAGAGACATTCAAGAAGAAACTGGACAGCCATCTGAGTGGGATGGTGTAACGTGGTGTCCTGCAACTGCTGGGGGTTAGATCCGATGGCCTTCATGTCCCCTTCCAACTCTGCTATGCTATGATTCTATGACACAGTTATTATTTTATGTGTGCGTTATAGTACTTTGTGTTCTGAGATATCTAGGGTTTATGTCTACAGTTTGTCATGAACGTTCACTTCAGTTCACTGCCTTTCAGTCTCAGATGCCTATCTATCAGAATGCAGGGTGCCTTGCTGATAGTTGTATCTCTCTAGAGAAGAGCAAAGCTATCTACTACTTCCAAAAAGAAATCATACTACAAATACTCAACCCTGTATACTGCTTTGGGTTTGTGTTTTGGTTGGGACATGCCTCTTTTACAGATGGGAGTACAGATGGGACATGCCTCTATTAAAAATAGCTCTGCCTAATAGAACTAGATGCTATTTTTTCAAGGTTACCCTGAAACTCCAGGCTCTGCTTTACAATTGAGGGAATTGTACTCCCTCAATGACCTCCAGTTGTACTCCAAAGTGGAAAAGCCAGGCACAGATTGATCACTTTAGTAGGTATGAGACTTCCTATTTTTCCTCGTCTTTTCATATGGAGAATTCAGTCTTAAGCAGATACTTTGAGTCAGCCTTCATGACTTAAAGAGTTATCACTATTCCAGAATATTGCCTGTCACTTAGAAACCTAGAAACAGAGCGAGTCAGAAGGGGTCTCCCAGGCCATCTAGTCTGACCTCCGGCACCAGCCGGCTCCGCTCACGACATGCCCACCATGTGGATGTCCAGCCTATCCTTGAACACCCGTGGACCTCTCAATGACCTCTCGTGGAAGCCCATTCCACACCCTCGGAGTCCTGACTGTCAGGAAGTGCTTCCTGGCATCGAAATGGAACCTTGGCTCCCCGAGCTTTGCTCCATTGGAGCGCATCCTGCCTTCCTCTGCAGGGGAGAACAGGTCTCTACCCATCTCCATGTGACACCCCCTCATATACCTGTATGTCGCTAACATATCCCCTCTGAGTCTCCTCTTCTCCAGGCTGAAGAGACCCAGTTCCCTCAGTCTCGCCTCATACGGCATTCCCTGCAAACCGGCCACCAACCTTGTGGCCCTACTCTGCACTGATTCCAACCTGGCTATATCTTTTTTGTAATGAGGGGTCCAAAACTGAACACAATACTCCAATTGCGGGCGCACCAGAGTCGTGTAGAGTGGTAGTAATACCTCTCTTGATCTAGATGCCACACTTCTGGCTATGCTACTTCTGTTGTATCACCCCACAAAACAAATATTTTGAGCCTGGCAGTGGATCTGGTTTAGAAAAGATGAAGTGATTAAGCACTTCTTAAGGGAAATGGTGATTATTACATTGTTGTCATTTAAGGGCTTCATGCAAGGTATTTCCATGATATGACAAGAAAATTACTGTCTGTTGCGTGTTCTTGTTTTACACCCTAAAGAATTAAACTAATAGTTCGGGGGGGGGGTAGTTTCAAAGTTTTGTTTTTTTTTCCTACTGTTTTAAATAAATAAATAAACAGTTACTCCAAAGACTTCAAACATATTGGGTACAAAATCTTAAAGAATTAAACGAATCAGTTTTTAATGAGGTATTTAATTTTAATTTTTTTTGATCTGGATGCTGTAGAAGAAATGGTGAAGAACTGAAGTCGATTAAAGGCTATTTGATTCTTAAAGGCAAATAATGATGAAATATGTATACTTAAAATTCAGCTTCTGTAATCTGTGCAATACAACTATTCTCCATTTGTACAGTCTAACAGAATATGTTGGATTTTTTCCAAGATGGCTGGCAAGCCTGAAGGGAAATGACTACCTTTCTGCGCTGACTTTCTACAGTCTATAATTTCTCCCACATTCTAATGTAAAACCTATTGGCATTCTCTTTCAGAGTAATTTTCAGGACACATTAGAATTCCTGATGGCCAGTCGGGATTTCTGTAAGGCTTTTTGGAAGATCTGTGTAGAACACCATGCCTTCTTCAGACTGTTTGAGGAACCCAAGCCAAAGCCTAAACCTGTTCTCTTTACCAGAGGTTCATCTTTTAGGTTCAGGTAACTTTCTTAGCTATTGTAATCCATGAGAGGAATATGCTCACTGTTTCATCGTGTTCTTGCTCCAAAACATCATAGTATGTTGTCATGGAAACAAACAATAAGGTTGGAAACTCCTTTCCCCTGACTGCCCCATGCAACTAGCTTTATCAAAGACTAGACCTGTAGGGACAAGGCCCCCATCTTTTCAATTACAGCCTTCCAAAGTTGCTGTCATGAAGTCTGATTCAGAACTAGAAAATACATGAATACATGCCTGAAATGTTAAGGCCAGGAGGCTCGGAGATAAATGAAGACGCTGGTGAGAACCAGACCACATCTGGCTCTGTGGGAAACACTATCGTGAACCAGCGTTGTTAGATGTGGGCAGACTTATCCCTGTTAGTGTCAGATCAAATGAGCAGCATCAGTCATTCCTGCCAGTTAACTTACAGGCAGCAGGAACCATACTGAAGATGGAGCTAACTGTTTTTGATTGGGCAGGAAGGAGAAGGATTCAGTTAGGAATCAACCTCTTATCTTTAAGCTACATTAACCCAACAGCAAGTTTTCCAATTTTGTGTATGTGTTCTGTAAATGACTACTGCAGTGCTCTTCCTTGTCGTAAACCATCCTGAGATGCCAGTAATGGGACGGTATATAAAAGTTTAAAATAAATAAATAAAAATCACAAAGCAGGCCTAGCTCATCAGTTTTAACATAATAAAGACTTTACAGCCTTTATTCTGATATGTTAATAAGGAAGATTGAAGTCCAGCTCATGGTTAAACACAATTTGGCATGATACTCAGTCCTTGAAACTCTGATTTAAGGGCTGCCTTCGCATTGGTAGGACTGCGATAAACCAAGAAAACTTTTGAAACCAAACATAGGAGTGTTTGAATTCACTGTATGTTCAGCAAAGTTAATCTGACCCACCACCAATCAGCAGTTTCAAACGAAGGACTGGCATAATGGGTTCAGACTTGCTTATTGCTGAAATGCTCACACAGGCAGTGCTCTAACGTTTATGTTCAGTTTGATAGTGCCAGTAAAAGCCGACATTTCTTCCCCATTGGTTCTATGAAGTGGGAACCTTGAGTACATTTCAGAGTGGAGTTGGTGCTTGCAAATGACATTAAGATACACCATGCAATTTCTATTGGAACGAAAGAGATCTAGTCCATGTTAGCAGTGTCTCCAAGGACCTTCAGGTTTAACCTTGAAAATACCTGTAGCAACAATTAAAGAGGTATGGCAACAATTAAGCATGGTAGTTGACAGATACTCTGAGGGGAAAGCATACCCTAAGCTGAAATGCAGCCTAAAATTCAATGCTAGTGAATCTTGTCTTATGCTGGTTAAGAATTCATCAGAGTTAGTATCTCAGAGTTATGATACCAAGAAACTTTTCCTGCTTTCAACAATGCAAAAGGAATTGGGTCACATTTTTTGTGACGGGGAAAGGAAGAATTAAGAAGCAGAACAGAGAAATGGTTTAGGGCTATATTTGGCAGCTAGGTGACTGTTGAATCCATCTCTGAAAACTTGCATCACCTTAAAAGGTGATGCATCACCTACAAACTTGCATCACCTACAAAAAAGGGTTTTGTTATCACCTTACACTATCTTTAAGGTACACTGAATATTGTATACCACATTACCTACTAATATCTGCTAATTTTGTGAAGTAGAATGTTTATCATCCATACAATATCCTAAATCATTCACTTGGATTTGGAGGCAGTGAAATGAAATAAGTTAAAAATATGGACTCAATTTCAGTATGGAGAAACTGATTTTATTAGACATTTATCAAAAGTTGAGACTATAAGATTTTGTCCATTTTTGGTTAATGAGTGTAAGCTTTATATTGATAATGAAATTAAATTTTTTAGAAAGAGTTTTTCTGGTGCCCCAAATTTGCAATGTTGTCGCTGTAAATTTATGCAATAACAAAAATTATTTATTTAAGTTTTTCTGTACCTTCCTCTTACCAAACAGTCTCAGGATGGTTTTACAATAAAACACAGTAAAACACAGCATCATTTCTATACAGTAAAACTGCAATTAAAATAACAATTTAAATCTTAAAATACTAGGAAAATAAAAAGGTTTTAGCCTGGTACCAAAAAGAATAAAGTGTTGTACCAGGCACACCTCTCTGGGGAGTGTATTCTATAACCGGGGTGCCACCGCAGATAAGGCCCTTCTCCAAGTAGCCAGTCTCCTAATCTCCTTCAAGGAGGGCTCCTGAAGAAGGTCCTCCTACTCAGATCTTAAGGGGTGGGCAGCCGTATACTGAAGGAGACACTCCTTCAGATATCCGGGTCCTAACTTGTTTATGGATTTATAGGCCATCACCAACACCTTAAATTTGGCCCAGACTTCAATTGGTAGCCAGTGTAGATGGTAAAAGACCAGCATTGTATGTCCATATCTGCTGGTTGCTGTTAACATTTTGCCTGCTGTATTCTGAACCAATTGAAGTATCCCAACTGTTTTCAAGGGCAGCTCCTTGTAAAATGTGCTACAATAGTCCAATCAGGAGGTTACCAGAAAGCTGAACTGCCTACCGAGGGGACCTCTGTCTTGTCTGGATTAAGCCTCAATTTATTGACCCTTATCCAGCCCATCACACCAGCCAGACACTGGTTAAGGACAGCCACTGCCTCACCTGGATTAGATATGGAGCTGGCTATCATCAGCATACTGGTGACTCCACAGTCCAAACTCCCAGGTGACATCTCCTGGCCTGAAACCTCACTGGAATGGGTCCAGATGGTCAGTTTCCTCCAAGAGAGCCTGGAGTTGCCCAACCACAACCACTCAAGCACCTTGCCTAAGAACAGAATGTTAACCACCGGTCTGTAATTAGTGGCCAGCTCTGGGTCTGGATTCACCCTCTTCAGGATGGGCCTGATCATCACCTCCTTCAAGGGGTCAGGGACCTGACCCTCCCTTAGAGAAGCGTTAACAACCTCCTGAACCAGGTACACATCTCATCCTTGGCTTTGGTGAGCAGCCATGAAGGGCAAGGATTGAGTAAGCAGGTGGTGGGTCAGACTTGCCCAAGCACCTTGTCCACATCCACAGATTGCAACAATTGAAACTCATCCAACAAGAGCAGACCAGATGATGCTCTGGATACTTCCCATTCTAGGACCTCATCAACTGTGGAGTCCAGCTCATGGTGAATCTGAGCAATTTTATCCCTAAAGTGTGATAGGGTTTATTTTAGGCCCTGAATGAAGTAGGCCCTGCACCACCTGAAAAAGCACAGTTGGATAGCACTATGAGAATGCAATGGAAGCGGAGAAGAATTCTTTCTTCATCACCCTCACCGCCACAGCATAGGCTCCATAATGAGCTCTAAGTAGTGTTCAGTTGGATTCAGCATGGGATTTCCTCCACTTACACTCTAGTTGTCTCCCAGCCTGCTTCATCATCTGCAATTCAGGTGTGTACCAAGGTGTCATGTGGGCCTTGCATGGTAGGAGAGGATGCTTAGGAGCGATTGTGTCAATCGCCTGGTCATTTCCCCATTCCACAAATCCATCAGGGCGTCAACAGAGCTCTCGGGTATCCATCAAGATCCATAAGACTCAGGGGTTAGACCAATTTAATAGACCCCACACCCTTACCAAGGAAAAAACTGGTCCCAAATTTATGCTTCACAAGAAAGTGATCTGACTATGACAAAGGGGTTAGAATCAAGTTCCTCACTTCCAGATCACCATCATGCCGTCCTGTCGAAAAGACCAGGTCCAGAATGTGGCCTCTTTAATGTGTTGGGCCAGTGACATGTTGAGACAGTGCCGTGATTTTCATGGTGGCCATGAAGTCCTGAGCTGCCCCTGTTAGAACAGACTCTGTATGGCAGTTGGTCCCCCAGAACCAACATCCTAGGGGTCCGAGACAATCTTCATCAGCTCAGGCAAGGAGTCTGTTAGGCAGAAGGGTGCATGTTACATCAACAGAATTTCTAGTCTGTCTCAGTCACCCAGCACCAAGTAGAAACACTCAATACCTGTCCTTGAAGGGACAGGAAGCCCCATAAGGGAGATTGAATCTCTGTAAATTAGGATCATACCCCTCCCCTCCCCTCTAGGTGAGGTTGATGCTGCACCAGATACCCGGGTGGGCACAGCTGGGTGAGCCCCAGGTCCCCCACTTCTCCCACCCAGGTCTCCATGATACATGCCAGGTTGGCCCCCTCATCCAATATTAAATCATGGATGAGGGATGTTTTTTTAGACCGACCTGGCATTCAACAGCAGTAGCACCAAGCCTGAGGGCCAGTTGATATCCCTGCCTGGTACTTTATGGCTAACGTTAAAAACAGAAGAGGGGACGGGTGCTAACCATCCTCCTTTCACTTATTCTGCAATGACCTGTTAAACCCCCCAGAGCCATATCTTCCCCTGTCCATAACCACCCCTATGGGGGACTCCTCTGCTCCCCAAATTAAAACACAATATAAAATATAAATATGAAATGCAAAGATGCTGTGCAGTTAAAGTAGAGCCCTAATGTAATACAAACGCCTCTGGTTCCACTTAACAAAGCTAACCCTAAACGATTAACTACCACAGTGCCCTTCCTCCCACATCACAAACAACCAGAGTCCCTGGCCCAACCCAGCCCTGAATGGCCCCAATTGGCACAATGCCCTTTAGCCACTGCTCTTCAGCTGCCGGCTTTAGTCTGTGGCTGGCAAAATAAGGGACACTGGCCCTGCCCTGCCCCCTGTGAGCGCAACCCCCCCACCCCCGATCTCCCCTCTCACAGGAATTGGGAGCAGGTGAGTGTAGGGGTGGCAGAAGCTGAGGGGCAGAGCAGGGCATGGTCCTCATCCCGATGGCGGAGGTGGTGGTGGCAGCATCCTCGGGGCTTCCATGGCGCAGCAGGCAGGCAGGCAGGCAGGCACATCTGTAGCTGTTCTCAACCACTGAAATTTGCCTGAGACCTTTTTCTTTAGGCTTCCATTTAGGGGAGGGCTTTACCTGGCTGGTGAAGAG